TAAGTACTCGTAGTATAACCGACGTGGCGTCTTTGGTAGATATTATCATAAACATCCTCAAATTCATTAGGTATCTAAGATACCAAAACCTGTTGGTTTCAACCTATAAAAAATCATGGTATTCGGGCAAGTACGCAGGCATTAAGAAATATTACTTATGTGTGAGTGACATTTCAATATCTAAAGTCTATGATGGAATAGTCATTGTATTCCTTAAAAACTGAAATAGATTATTGTATAGCCTTATTCATGTATCAGTTTCAGATAACAAAACTCTGAGGGCTGACTTTGGGTACGAGATGAAATTCACCATAAAACACTTTACTTTCCTTTGTCATAATTATCTATATAGTACACTGAAATTTTGAGTCGACAATTGCCAAATGTAAATAATCTCAAACTGAACTTATTGTTGTTCTTATTGTTGTTGTTCTTATTGAGGAAATACTCACACAGGTCTTTACGGCGAAAAATGCCAAAACGTGTATGGAAGGTTTATTTATCCCTAGTTTAACAAGAAGCCGTTGGGCCACATCGCTCCCCTGAGCACAATGGCAAGGCAAGAGCACAGATCAGTTCAATATTGAAAATATTACGGGGGATTTGAATTTTATACTACCTGATGATGCTTCCATGTCAATATAACAAATGGCTTTGTTGTACATTTTTTTTTTAAAAAATTCCTACATACTTCCTTTGTAAAAATTTGATCCCCCATTGTGGCTCCTCACTATCCAAGTGGACATCAATTGAACAAACTTGAATCTACATTACCTGAAGATGCTTCCATTTCAATATGACTAAACATTGCTTCCGTGTTCTTTAGAAGAATTTTTTTTCTATATGTTCTTATGAAAAACTGTCGATAACCCATAGTGGCCCCAACCTACTACCGGGGGTCATCATTTGAACAAAATTGAATCTACACTATCTGAACATGCTTCCATATCAAAATGACTAAACATGATTTTCTGTTCTTGAGAAGAAGATATTTTCCTATATGTTCCTATATAAAATTTTCGATCCCCCATTGTGGCCCGACCCTATCCCCGGGGATCATCATTTTAACAAACTTGAATTTACACTACCTGAGGATGCTTCCACATAAAATGACCAATCAGGGCCTTGCTGTTCCTGAGAAGATTTTTAAGATTTTTCCTATATATTCCTAAGTAAAAGTTTGATCGTCCATTGTGGCCCAGCCCTACCCCGGGGTCATGATTTGAACAAAATTGGATCTTCACTACCTGAGGATCCTTCCATATAAATATGACTCACCATGGCTTTGCTGTTCTTGAGAAGAAGATTTTTATAGATTTGTCCTCTATATCTCTATGTAAAAATTTGATCGTTCATTGTGGCCCCGCCCTACCCCCGGGGGTCATGATTTGAACAAACTTGAATCTACACTACCTGAGGATGCTTCTATATAAATATGACTCATCATGGCTTTGCTGTTCTTGAGAAAAAGATTTTTTCCATATATTTGAACCTACACTACCTGAGAATGTTTCCACATGAGCTTCATCTTTCCTGGCCCTGTGTTTCTTGAGGAGAAGATTTTAAAAAGATGCTATTAATTTATCACTAATTCCTAATTATCTCCCCTTGGAAGAGGGTGTTGCCCTTCATTTGAACAAATTTGAACCCCCTTTACCCAAGAATGCTTTGTGACAAGTTTGGTTGAAATTGGTCCAGTGGTTCTGGAGAAGAAGTCGAAAATGTGAAAAGTTTACAGACAGACGGACGGACAGACGGAGTACAGACAAAATGTGATCAGAAAAGCTCACTTGAGCTTTCAGCTCAGGTGAGCAAAAAAAAAAGGAATGGTAGAGAGGCAGGCGTAAGATACAGCATATTAGAATGGCTGAAAGAGTGAAACCATGCACACCATCAGGGTGCATCCGTTTCAGAAAGGCTTCTAATACATACCTATTTGTCTTGGACTAGTAAAAAGGTACAAATACTCTTTTCGAGAATTTCAATACTTTACCCTTAATTGAAGGAAAATGTTTGGCACTTGTAAATACCATATTAGAAAACAAAAAATAAAACAGACAACAGGTTTGAAACCTGAAATTGGATCAATTCTTTGTAGAAATGACACAACTGATTTTCTACACCATAAAGGCCAATCAACCGATCAACGCATTTACTGATGTTGCTATGAAGGCCATATAAATTTTTAAAACAAAGTATTTCTGTTATCATTTTTCTTTTCTTTTTTGTTGTTTGTCATTCATCTCCATTAGAAAGGCACTTGAACAGAAAGATGAAGTCATAAAATATACATATTTTCATATGCATCGTATAAAGACTTCTTTCGGCGGATGAATATGATTATTAAGAGGTAGAATCATGCATTTTAATATGTGTATTGATTTCAATATTTCTGCCAGTCAGTAGTTTAAAAATTCATGAATTGCTCTTAATAAGTAAAAATAATACCTAAAAATATAATTTACAGACAACGTGCTCCATTGTAAGACATTGAAATGCTTGTAAAATTGCAAAATCCTTCATGCAGGTCTACATTGTACATGATAAAACTTAAATTTACTTCACAAGACATTACAGCCTGAGAAATGAATGTCCTTGCTTTCATGTACTAAACATCACTGACCTGTAGAGTGGTCAAACAATACCAAAAATCTACTTCAAATACTAGTATATTTAACTTTTAAAACGGATACTCGTATCGTTATCATTGAGCAAAATGTATAAAGTGATAAAGTAAATTCGAATTTTCATTATCTTTAAATTATTTCACGGAATGCAAAATCATCACGAAAACTTTATAAGATCTTTTTGGAAAATCACGATAACTAATGGTTTAATTTTATCTCAAAAATTATATATATATATATATATATATATATATATATATATATATATATATATATATATATATATATATATATATATATATGACATATGGCTTTAGTAGACCAAGGAGGATATATTTTCTCGCTTAGGGAGACCACTGGATTAAGGCGACCTTTTTCGGTCTCCCTATTATTTTGACCTCATCAGTATTGCAAATGTCTTTTTATAGATAAATAAACAGTATGCCATTAAATATTATTAATCTTTAACTCTGTTATTTAACATTCAAAAGTTGTCTAATTTCTATCATCTTCCCTAAAAAAGAAAAGAATTTATAACCTACGTATAATTTCAAAGGATAATTTTTCTGCATTTTGGAGACCATGAAAAACGCGCAATTAAACAAAAAATCTAGCATATATATTTTTTCCGCTTTTGATTTGTTCAAATGAGTGTTTCTTTAACTTAGTTTTCCATGTTTTATGTTAAAAACCTAAAAAGGAAAAATATTGTAAATTTATGAACCATGTTTTGAATTCTTAGCAAGTGCTTTCCGTCATTTGTTCCGAATGCCATCGGAATGCCCCTTCAGTTTTCAGAAAATGACCTCTGAACACCATGGATGTTGAGAAATTTGGGTAAGTAACTAAAATGATACAGTAATAAGTTGTAATTAAGAATACACAAGACAAACATTCGTTTGGGTTTTTTGTTGTTTTTTTTTTTTTTTTTTTTTTTTTTTTTTTTTTTTTTTTTTTTTGCCTAGTAATTTAGCTTTCAAGAGAAAAAGTATGATTTTAAATAATCGTTAGACTATAGTTCGGTATATAAAATCCTGAAGGAAATTCGAAATAAAGTTAAATGATAGGCCCCTATATTTTTTTAATTCTTTTATGCAAGTCCACAAACAAATTAAATATTTAAAGATTAGGCCAAACGTTGAAAAAATAGTCTCGCAAGTTGACGCAGCTATTTCGAGCTTAAAAATTTAAATTAAACTTTCTGTAAACATCATGCAGGACATGATCATCATGATATAGTATAAATGAAACAGACCCTGTAAGAAAAAAATAGCTGTAATTTAATAATTGTTTATTAATGTAATATGGTCCTCTGCTAATAGAATATAATATATGCTGTAAAAAAAATCTGAATCAGGGTGAAGCAGATTTGATACAATACATGGCTGAAGGAACGGGGGGGGGGGGGGGGGGCAGGCCCCCTGTAATTTTGCTGAAATTTAGGTATACTATAGAAAACATTGCTCCTTTATGCTTGGGCCCCCTCAGTAATAACCTCTGATGATCTATTTTTCTTTTGCTTTTGGGCCCCCTCAATAATAACCTCTGATAATGTATTTTTCTTTTGCTTATTAAAAATTTTTTGGTTTGTAGCCTCCCCCAACCTGAAACTGAAAAATGTTGTTTGGTTGTGCTCACCCCCCCCCCCCTCCAACTAAATTACGTACGGGCCTATTCTCCATCCCTGAGGTTTTCTTTCACCAAAGAAAGATGAATTGGTAACAGTTCAGATATATATAGCAATATTTACGGAAGGGAATATTCTCGTTTAATTGTGAAGATGTGACAGTAACTCAGTCAAAGCCACAGTGAGTGTAACATTTATTTAATATTATTTTTAATGTTTACAAATAGTGAAATACTGATACTGTGAAATTTTAATGGATATATAGAAAATATAAAAGTACAACCATTTATTGTAAATCACATACATGAAAAGCTTCTTTTTTTTTCAAGCAATTGGAAATTCTTCATTTTTTCATGAAATTATTTTATTTCGTATGTATGATAATTTATTTCGTATTTTAATTCAGTCAACAAATCATTGTCGCAGCCTAGTTCCCTTCATTATTTTCAGCAGTTCAGTGACAGAGATAAAATGATCATTTGAGGTTTATACCCCCCCCCCCTCCCCACCAAATGAAACTGAAAAATGTTTGGTTTTGGTCCCCTTCAACTGAAATTGATTCCTACTTACCATGTTTACAGGCTTAACTGTGAAGATGTGACAGGGAGTGTAATAACAATAATTGTTCAGACGGATACATTGTACATATTAAGCTGATATACGTATCAAATTTTAATGGATAGATAGAAATTAATAAACAATTACAACCATTTATTATAAACTACATAAAGATAATTTTTCAAGCAATTTGAAATTCTTCATTTTTTATGATAATATTTTATTTCGTATATATGTTTATAGGTTTATTCGTATCAACAAATCTGTGTACGAGTTAATAACGCAGCCTGGTTCCCTGCATTTTCAGTGACAGAGAACCAGAATAAGATTGTAGGGAAACAAGCCTTGTTACAAGGTTTGAGGTTTGTTTATTTTATATTTTAATTTACACTTTTTAAAAATTATTATTATTATGCAAAAATCTGTGTGCAGATGAATATTTACATTTTAATGTTATAAGTCGTTTTGTGGTTCATATTTGCGGTGACTGTCCCACGTGTGTTTACCTGTTTACATTCACCTACTGACCTAGAGTCTTCAAAATATACCTTCTGTAATCATGACTGTTGTAATCTTGTTTTTATGTTAGTTTACCGTATGTAACTTGACTGTTGACTTGTATAGATTTATAGCGATCACTGCAAGCTTTTAATATTTAGGTGAAGAGAAATTTCAGACTATCAATCACAGGCACTTGTTTCATATACGGTGCACCCCTACTTATTTTTACCACAAGGTATCTAACTCAATTTCAGGCACCCCCGCTTCAAGCTCATATTTTGTTCATGTATCTATCATTATCAATCATTAACCTACTTTAAAATGACATCGTTCGCTTCAAGAGACTTTTTTCTTGTCAAATAAATCGTTTCAGACGTATCTGGTCGAGTCTCTTTATTGTAAAGCACTCATTTATTCCACGAAAATTACCTCGATACATTTTAAGACTTTAGATGGGATACAACTTCCAGTTGGGGGTAGAATAAAACCAGAGACTTTCGAGTATTCCATTCCGAGGTCTCTGGTTTTATCCTTCATTTATAACCCCAACCACAAATTTGTATCGAAAATTACCTTGATACATTTTAAGACTTTAGATGGGATACAAATTTCATTTTTTTCACATGTCACGAGGTTTCAACTTAAAAAATAAAAATTCTCACCGTTAAGATATGTTGGAAATTTTAGCTTGATGTGTTGATAATTTGCCAAATTATTATGTAATAAAGGGGACTTTATATGATCACCCAGCGCTGTCGCTTTAGTTCAGTCTTCACAACAATTCTTTTTCAGCACATGCCCTTCGGGCATGTAGACCTATCATTTTTACCCAGCCCATTCAAATTTGTACATGTCCTACTCAAAATTCTTACATTTACCAGTATTGTGCAACAAAAAAAAGCCATTAGGTATAAAGGTTTTATATTAATTTTTTCAGCGTCGTAAACCAACCATGGCCTGTGATTGCCATTTTCTAAAGTGTTTTTGTTCATAAATAACTTTTGAGTTGCATGCTGGTCATTTGTTGGCCGGTTTAGCTGAACTGAATTTCAGAAATGGGATCATGACTGTAGTGCCACAGTATGTGGCATTGATGAACATCTCGTAATTTAGCAAGCAACTTCGAGAAAACAAATAGGTTAAAGTAAACACTTCAATGATTAGATTGACAATCATTTGACAGGTCGTATCGAGAATGTAGACAGGCAATCCATCGACATTACATATAGCAACGTTTAAGCGAATAATGGGGGTAGGACAGAATAAATGGCAAGTAAAGATCGTACGATGAAAGAAGATTCACATATGCCCTCTTCGGACATGTAATTTGGCAATTTTTACATGCCCGGCTGCAAATTTAACAGGTCCCTGGCATTGGACTCCCGGGTTATTTGGAAGACTGTTAGTTTAGTTTCATGAGGACCGACAACATTGATTCTCAATGTCTGCTCCCTCTACCCCATACACTTATCTTGATAAAATTATATAAATTATATTATTAATTATATAAATTGATATAAATTATATAAACCGGTCTTGTTTATATAATTTTACAATGTCATAAACAGCTGCTTAAGTGCATATAATATTGTAAATGGATTTATATATAGGATTAGGGAAAGATCCTCACTTGATTATGGCAGCATATTTAGCTCGTAGGAGTTTATTATCTACCACACATGATCAATGTCACTTTTGGATGTGAATGATTTTTGACACCCTAACTTCAGTTCAAATCAACGTTAACTTTATGTGACGTCTCTCTGAATCTTTTTTGGCATGTAACTTGGGTAAAAACAATTAAGTACTCTTGATGCATTTGATTTCTCTTAGCCCGTTTAAACATTTCCAAGGTCTATACCAGTTTTTGCAGGGGCAAAACTATGTAGAAGTTGGAAAAGAAACCCATCCCCTTTTTGACGTATTTGGTTTTCGAGGGGTGAAAAATTTCAATATTACACTCGAGTACATGCAATATTTATTATATTATACTGAATGTTTTATACAAATACAAATAATAGTGAACCTTGAGCACATAAATCTGCGCAGTCACTATTTTTTGGAATATCACCCGTCGTTAAGCAATGTTGACTGTTGTGACACTGGTCGTGGCTTCATTATTCAGCGGATAATAGTGCTTTTTAACAAATGTTTCTTGACGAATCAGATTAATTCATCTAATATACCTGAAAGTACAATATTAATTAATTGTCATCATTTTCCTATATTAGCATTTTTACTGGTAATGGTTTTGAAATGATAGGAACATGCACTGTTCAAAAAGTCTTAAAATGTTGTTTTGGCTCAATTTCTTTGTTAGATTACTGTGTTGAACTAAGGCAGTTCAATTAAAGTAACATCATCCTATAGATTCCATGTACATTTAGTACTGTAAAGTAGACAAATTTATTGTTCTCACAAGTAGTTCTCAAACATTGATTTAAGTTGGTCTCCTGAAGGATGTAATAATGCAATTGGTCTGCTTAAGGTACAGTGTATAATATAGACATGCATATTTTATTTTGAATTTGTATTATGTCAATCATTAGAAATATATGGATCTTAATTAAAAAACATTGTTTTCATTAGAATTTAAGATATGTATAATAGGCATATATTCTTCATGCTTTTCCATAGTTAAGTCCTTTTTTACAGGGTCTCGCTAGAATCATGTGGACCCCAGTGTAACAAATCTATGGAAAGAGAGAAAATCTCAGCTCAAGGGTCAACATGTCTTTATTCCAAGAAAGGTAAATTGATAATTTTTTCTGCTAAAATACTCTTTTATAAATTATAATATCAATGCAAAAGAGTGAACAAACAATGTACCTAACAACATTTTGAAAATGAAAGTGCAATAACAGTTAATAATTATGATCAATCGAATGAATGTTAATAATCCAATCGAAGTCCTTGTTGTATATCATTTTTGCTAGGGCTGTGTATTGAGCAAAAAAAAAAAAAAAAAAAAAAAGAAAGACATTTTTTAATGCGATAAGCAATATATTGAATTCTTTAACAATTCTGTCAAAAAGGTCTTATAAATCATTATGCATGAATTTTATAAAAATAATAATTGTTTTTTACTCATTTTTAATTTTTTGTCTCACCGTCTTTAAAAATTACACTTCAAATTCAAACTTTTCTTGACTGTAAAATCAACATGTTAAGTAAAGTTGTCTATGTATTTTTATGATTTTGTAATAATCATTTAAGATGTGCTACCTCCTTAATGATTATATCATTTTTGATCAGTTTTAATTCAAAACAATTACCAGTAAATATAATCTTTGGTGATTGAAATTCCCAAGTTTTTCACAGAATTACATAAAAAAACTGCCTGCCCAAAATGTATTGGAATTAAGTTATTTTTAGCTCACCTGAGCCAAAGGCTCAAGTGAGCTTTTCTGATCAAAATTTGTCCGTTGTCTGTCGTCGTTGTCGTCTTTGTTGTTGTTGTTGTAAACTTTTCACATTTTCATCTTCTTCTCAAGAACCACTGTGCCAATTTCAACCAATCTTGCCACAAAGCATCCTTGGGTAAAGGGGATTCAAGTTTGTTCAAATGAAGGGCCACACCCTCTTTCAAGGGGAGATAATTAAGAATTAGTGAAAATTTAGTAGTATCTTTTAAAAATCTTCTTCTCAAGAACCACTGGGCTGTAAAAGTTGAAACTTAGGTGAAACCTTCATTACATAGTGAAGATTCAAGTTTGTTCAAATCATGACCCCCTGGGGTAGGGTGGAGCCACAATGGGGGATCAAAGTTTTACATAGGAATATATAGGAATAAATCTTTAAAAATATTCTCCTCAAGAACAACAAAGCCACGATTAGTCATATTTATATGGAATCATCCTCAGGTAGTGTAGATTCAAGTTTGTTCAAATCATGACCCCCAGGGGTAGGATGGGGCCACAAGGCGGGATCATAGTTTTACATAGGAATATATAGAAAAATCTTTAAAAATCTTTTTCTCAAGAACAACAAAGCCACAATTAGGCATATTGATATGGAATTATCCTCAGGTAGTGCGGATTCAAGTTTGTTCAAATCATGACCCCCAGGGGTAGGGTGGGGCCACAATGGGGGATCAAAGTTTTACATAGAAATATGTAGGACAAATCTTGAAATTGTTTTTCTTAAAAACAACAAAGCCACAATTAGTCATAATTTATATGGAAGCATCCTCAGGTAGTGTAGATTCAAGTTTGTACAAAATCATGACCCCCCCGGGGGGGGGGGGCACAATGGGGGATCAAAATTTTACATAGGAATTTATAGAAAAAAATCTTTAAAAACCTTTTTCTCAAGAACAACAAAGCCACAATTAGTCATATTGATATGGAATCATTCTCAGGTAGTGTAGATTAAATTTTGTACAAATCATGACCCCCAGGGGTAGGGTGGAGCCACAATGGGGGATCAAAATTTTACATAGAAATATGTAGAAAAAAATCTTGAAAAATCTTCTCAAGAACAACAAAGTCACAATTAGTCATATTGATGTGGATTCATCCTCAGGTAGTGAAGATTCAAGTTTGTATCAAATCATGACCCCTCGGGGTAGGGTGGGGCCACAAGGGGCGATCAAAGTTTTACATAGGAATATACAGAAAAAAAATTGAAAAATCTTCTTCTCAAGAACAGCAAAGCCTTGTTAAGTCATATTGATATGGAAGCATTCTCAGATAGTGTAGATTTAACTTTGTTCAAATCATGACCCCCAGGGTAAGGGTGGTGCCACAATTGAGGATCAAAGTTTTACATAGGAATACATAGGAAAAAACTTTAAAAATCTTCTTCTCAAGAACAGCAAAGTCATGTTTTGTCATACTGATATGGAAGCTTCCTCAGGTAGTGTAGATTCAAGTTTGTGTTCAAATCATGACCCCTGGGGGTAGGGTGGGGCCACAATGGGGGATCATAGTTTTACATAAGAATATATAGGGGAAAAAACTTGAAAAATCTTCTTCTCAGGAACAGCAAAGCCATGTTTTGTCATATTGATATGGAAGCTTCCTCAGGTAGTGTAGATTCAAGTTTGTGTTCAAATCATGACCCCTGGGGGTAGGGTGTGGCCACAATGGGGGATCATGGTTTTCCATAGGAATATATAGGGGAAAAAACTTGAAAAATCTTTTTCTCAGGAATAGCAAAGCCATGTTTTGTCATATTGATATGGAAGCATCTTCAGGTAGTGTAGATTCAAGTTTGTTCAAATCATAAACCCCAGGGGTAGGGTGGGGCCACAACGTGGGATCAAATTTTTACATAGGAATATATAGGAAAAAATCTTTTCATCAACAGAAAAGCCATGTTTAGTCATATTGATATAGAAGCATCCTCAGGTAGTGTAGATTCAAGTTTGTTCAAATGATGGGGGGTGGGGGTTAGGGAGGGTCCACAATGGGGGATCAAATTTCTAACAAGGGAATATATAGGAAAAAAATCTTTAAAAATCTTCTGCTCAAGAACAGTAAAGCCATTTGTTATATTGATATGGAAGCTTCCTCAGGTAGTTCAAAATCCAAGCCCCCTCCCCTTTAAACTTTTCAATACTGAAGTGATTTGTGCTTTTTCCTAGCCAATGTGCTCAGGTGAGCGTTGTGGCCCATGGGCCTCTTGTTTTTGATACGATATATTCATTAATCTAGATATGTATCGATATACAGGTAAACTTCGGTATCTCGAACACCGGTATGTCGAATACCACGGATATCTCGAAGTGAATCAACGGTCCCGGCCATTTTTATTATATTTATGATTTTAAAAAACCCCGGTATCTCGAACACGGAAATCTCAAATACCTCGCTTATCTCGAAGTAGATTTACGGTCCCAAGTGCTATAAACACATGCGTTATCTCGAAGTCCAACAAATTCTTGCTCCGCTGAATTCACACCTTAGTACACAATAATCCCATTATGCTAATTTTACGGTCTGTTGAACGTTTCCATTAGGTCTAGCACAGGCTTCATGGGACCATTGCTGATAATCACACCTTATTAGTCCCAAGCTGTTGTTTTTGGTAGTTAAATTTAATTACGCAGGCCAGGTGATTTGGAGGTGTTAATAAAATGCACTCTCAGAGATACTATGACACGATAATGAAACAGCGGCTTGGGGACGATTACTGTACTAGAAGTTTAAATTATCGAAAATACACGCTTATACACATCATTACATATCAAAGTAAACACTGAACACATCAAAGTGATATTGAACTCAAGAAATTAAACAATTAAAGACATTATTTTGAGTATAAAAGTCAGTACCAAAAATCAAATCTTTAGTAAATATCATGTCCGATAAGGCAGTCTAACGAAGGACCCGGTAGCCAACCAGGGGGGATAGTTAGATTATCTGACCGTGGTGTAAAAAGAAAACTTAAAGTTCATACAATTGAAACAAAGTTTGCTTTTGTTTATTCATATTGGCAATTTCAATAAATTATTGTAGAACGATAATTCCTGTTGTTACATTTAGGCATGTGGGTATATGTACATATCCTGTTAAAGTCTTTGTGTATCACATTATATCATGATATACTTCAGACAAATTAGTACACCTGCAGTTTTGAATACAATTCATACATTGATTTCATTTACCACAATGGTCTCTTTAATATTGCAATAATGCATTTGGTCTTCCTAATGCATGTATAATGCAGGTACTGTATATACTCTATGTCCAGCTTATAGGTGAGTCATAAAAAGATTAGTATTTTGAAACCAGGTTAAAACATCAGAGCATTGATTTGAAATTGTCAATTGATTCTGGCAAAAAGTTGTACCGATTTATAAGCGGGTCAATAGCAAATCCCTCCAAAATAACCTCAAAAAATACAACTGACTTATAGGTGGACCAACTTATAGGCAAGTATATACATGTATACGGTATAGTTTTTGTTGAATTTTGCTAACAGCAAAACAATATGAATAATGAATTTTGGAAAAAAAAGATTATTAAGTTTAATGATATATGTATGTTGTATAGAAATATTGTTCATATGCCTGTACATGGTACAAATATGCATTTTACAGAGTGTACATATGCCAGAATCATATGGACCGCAGACTGGCCCTGGTGATTCCGTTAAGAAAAAAGAGGAAAAATCAGTGCTTGTGCTCATTGGTCATTGGACAAAGGTAAATAGAGTTATTTCATGAAACTAAACATGTAAATTACTAGGATATTAAAATATCACAATTAAAATACATGTACTGATTTATATATATGGATATCAGTTGGTCTCCTTGATGGAGTTAAATGCATTTGTTATCCCTTTTAAGTGGATCATTTAAATATTATGCAGTTTATTTAGAAGCTCTTTATTATCTGCACTGTTCACTTTTACAGGGTGTATGCCAGAATTTTTTCAAGAACAGTCTGAATCTGACATGGAAAAAATGAAGAAAAACAGCCTTCCTGTTTATAAATCTACATTCTGACAAAGGGTAATTTTGTTTAGTTCAATTAGAAGTGCACATTTAATTTCAGTTGCTTTCCTTAATGATATATTATAGCATTTTTATTCCCTTATGAACAATATGTATACTTGTAAAGCATGTATCACAAAATCTTCTGCAAACAAAGTTTTGGGTGTATAGCGTTTGTTGTTTAACGTCCCTCTTGAGAATTTTTCACTCATATGGAGACGCCATCACTTGTCGGTGGAGAGCTGCAAAATTTTGTCCTATACTCAGCACTTACGGCCATTGAGCAGTGAGGGATCTTTATCGTACCAGCACCTACTGCGACATGGGACCTCGGTTAATACCTCTGTCTCATCTGAAGAACGGGTCTCCATGTCTCACAGTGGGATTCAAACTCGCGATGTAAGGATCAGCTTCTTTCTCTGCTACTCTAGAGTAGACGCTCTAACCACTGCATCTGCTCTACTTTGGCAACTTTGGGTGTATATAAGCATAGGAATCATCATGTCCATCTGTCTGTTCATGTGTTTGGCCACTTTTATGATTAGTTTTTTGGTTCCAATTCTGGCTGAGATAAATTGATTTAAGTCATCTAAATACAAACAAATTAAGGGAAATTACTATGGTATTGGAATGAACATTTTGGAATACTGTCTAATTGTTCCATTGTAGTTGGTTTCTTTAATGTTGAAATAATGCATCTGGTCTTCCTAATGCATGGCATACACTGTATGCATGTGTAATGTTAAAGTTGGCTGAATGTAAAACAATTCTTGCGTTATGACAAAGGTAAATAGATTTAGTTCATGTAACTAAACATGTAAATTAATAGGGTATTAAAATCTCAAGTTTTGAATACTAATTTACATGTGGAGAGTAGTTGGTCTCCTTAATGCAGTAATAATACATTTGGTCTCCCTTTTGCATACTGTATATTATATAAATTTTATGACTGACATGTACGGGGGTTGATCCAAAAGTTCATGGAATTTCTTCATATTTTATTTATTTATTAGTGAAAGAGGTTGAATACTGATTTACATGTGGATAGTAGTTGGTCTCCTTAATGCAGTAATAATACATTTGGTGTCCCTTATGCATACTGTATATCATATAAATTTAATGACTGACATGTACGAGGGTTGATCCAAAAGTTCATGGAATTTCTTCTAGTGTTGTACCAATAATCAGAAAACATCGATTGTCGACAAAAAAATGCTACCGATTCCGATGATCGATTATAGTTTTTCATAATCGATCATCGGAAACATACTTCTAATACAATACATTCCGGAATTATCCATTTCTGGTTTAAAATTTATTTCTTCTTAATGAAAGAAAATGGCATCTGCATCTGATACTAGCCAACTAGCATGAAGCAGAGGTGATTAAGAATCGAAGATGCATATATAGGGCCTAAAAAAAATTATTTTTGTTTCCTGTAATAACCCGACCGACCCATTCAATTTACCCCCGGGTGAATTTTTTTTCTGCCAAATCTGTGTTTGCTCTTTGGTGTGATCAATCAGCTGATTCTTTTTATTCAAAAAATATTAATTGTATCTTTTATTTGAGATATAAAATATGCAACTTAGTCAACATTTTATTACTTTAAATATAGAGTGATCAATTCCCCCCACAACTTTTTGAAGTTTGTTTTCTGCCGCTAGGCAGCCATGTTGGGTGTCCACTGTAAATATTTTTAGGTCTAGAAAGTGTAAAAGAAGCAAAACAACAAAGAAAATAATATATTATGAATTTTATATATTCATGTTAAAGAAATAAATGAAATTATTGTAATAATCTGCTTTTTGTATACAAAACTATGAAGAAATCCGATTATAATCGGTGAAATCGCATCAGAAGCAGTAACCGATTCCAACCAATGATCGATTATGAAAATTAACTGATGTCTCATCACTAATTTCTTCATATTTTTTTTTATTTATTAGTGAAAGCGGTTGAATACTGATTTACATGTGGAGAGTAGTTGGTCTCCTTAATGCAGTAATAATACATTTGGTCTCCCTTATGCATACTGTATATTATGTAAATTTAATGACTGACATGTATGAGGGTTGATCCAAATGCTCATGGAATTTCTTCATATTTTATTTTTTTTATTAGTGAAAGTGGTTGAATACTGATTTACATATGGATAGTAGTTGGTCTCCTTAATGCAGTAATAATACCTTTGGTCTCCCTTAGGCATACTGTGTATTATATAAATTTAATGACTGACATGTACGAGGATTGATCCGAAAGTTCATGGAATTTCTTCTTATTTTATTTATTTATTAGTGAAAGTGGTTGAAAATTACAAATAAGAATATAGACACTTGTTGAATTTTTTTAATAAAAAAAATTTTAAATATTAATGATAGTAACTCTATGGCAGTTGCTATAGCAAAGGATGTTTTAAAATGCAGGGGAGACATTTACTCGTTCATTATCATTTTAATTCTTAATACGTGATATAAGAAAAAACCTGCGCTAAGTGGCAAATAAAATGAGAATTTTGTCATTATTACGATTGTTTGACCACTAATATACCTGTCTGTGAGAGTTTTACTGATTTAACTTGATATTTAGATTATTAGTTGATGATTTTTGTTCATCTTTTAATTGTTAGAGAACGTCGCATTTCAGTCAAGTTATAAGTTTTGTTAAAATCTTAGGAACACTCTGACTTAAAGGGGTATACTACTGATACAGGCTGGAGAAAAATGCATTTAGCAAGTGATTTTCCAGTGGCGTGAGAAATTTAAGAACAATAGAACTTCCATGGAGGTTGATTAAAGGTGTGGCTGCTTTTGGAGGGTCTGTTTTTCTAGTAGACAAATTAAGGGTTGATGGATGTTGACCGCTGACGTACTGTGCTTGACTTTGCTACTGAAATTGGAACATCATATGGAAAGATGGGGAGTATTTTTGAAATATGAGTGTAATATAAAGATAAGTCGATTGGTGGATACCCAGGCTTTTCTTGAGAGAGAAAAAGGAGAAAAAGGCAGAATATTCTGTAGAATTACTTAGTTGAATTGAACATGAGGGTGAGATGCTCCTATAACATGACATGACATACTTAACTTGACGTTACGCCGAAGTCTCCCCCGCATTTTACAACTATCAGTGTTCAGAAAGCTCATGTGACCTTATTGGTAATTGGAACATGGTGAAATTTTCCAGTATTGTTGCATAATGACTCTATATTATAAATATGCCTATTGTTTGCTTTCATCAAATCACAATAAAATTTTAAAAAATAATTAAATTCCATGAACTTTTGGATCAACCCTCGTATTCGAAAAAAGATGGATCTAAGATTGAACAGGTTATAATTCATCTGAGTAATTTAAATTCCTTATTAAGGTCTTTCGTTTCCAACGGAAGACCTTCTACTGATTCTGATGGTTAAGATTATTAAGGTCTTCCGCTCCAGGCGGAAGACCTTCTACTGATTCTGATGGTTAAGATTATTCTTATTATTCTTTTTTTTTTTTCCTAGACGCCAACTTTGAGACCTCATATCTTGCTCATTTCTCAACGGATTTTGCTCAAATTTGCAGGGTTTAAAGACGTTACAAAATTCTATCAGAATGCTGTCAAACATTTCAAAAACCCACTTCCGCTTTTGGGTTATCTCCCTTTAAATGAAAATTTACTAGGCTTCATTTCCAGACAAAGGCTCAGAGACTACTGAAGCTGGAGTAGAAATTCTACCGAATTTGAATAATAGAAGCACTGAAGTTGTGCACATCGGTTTTTGTTTTTCAATTTCTGTATTCAAAATGGCGCTAGAGAGGGGTCAAAAATTAGAACGCCAAAAAGAGCGAAAATTTACACATATTTTCCTTTTTATCTTCTAAACTAAAAATATTTTGATAAAACATGTAGAATAAAAGTTGTGCACAATTTTAAGGCCTTTCATTTGAGACCACTAAAAAGGGTCTGGCCCCTAAGATTAGGGATCTGGGGCCCTTTAAAGTTTTTGCTTTATAACTCAAAAACGGTAAATATTTCGAAATAGCTGCCGTAATTAAAGTTGTTATTTAACATCTTATTGATCTCAAGAAAATGTTATTTTGTTTGAGTCTTGTGTTCTAAATGAGCTAGAAGCATAACACATATACAGGTAAGTGTTTTCATTCAGCAAGTAAACAAGAGCTCTTCATGCGTGTAATTAAAATAAACTTACTATAAATAATAAATCTTGCTATATTAGATGCTAATATTCTTTAGAATCAGGTTTTTGAAGTATTTTGTGCTTTATTTCCAAATTATTTACTGACAACTTTCCCTTTTATTTCGTTTGTCTTCAAATTTGGATAAACCAGTCTACTAAACAGGGAAAAAAGATAACCTTTTCTTCTTATCATATAAAAACAAACAATAAAGTTAGAAAATAAAACAAAACTTTAAACATAGACTATTCACAGCCATTAAGTACACGCCTTTTACATTCACCTCGTGTGTTTACAATTATGTAACCCCTCCCTCGATAGCGCGTGGCAAAGGAGGTCACCGAGGATCAATCGGCGTGTGAACCAGCGACCTAAGGTCATACACAAAACAAACCATAGAATGGCCATTCCAAATACATTTTAACTAAGTGATGAGTGGATAAATATGTTTAATCTTTCAGATTATTTCATATCTTTGATTAAGTCGCTAGTACATTTCGATTTATATTTTATTCGCTCAATTACAAGAAAGTTGCATATTTATTCTTATAAACATTGCATTGTTGAGATAATTGCGCTTTGTGGAAAATTACTTTAAAATCATTTCGAATCTTTCATATGATTCCGTCTTACTGTTTAATTATCACTCGCTCGTTTTAATCAGATAGTCTTAAGTGCCTTTCACTTATTCACTTCAAATTCAATGCATTTTGAATGCCGAAAAGACCACTTTGTTTGCGTATTAAAGAAACAGTTTATTTATCTCTCTTATATATGTTATTATTTAACGAGTTGCTATTTCTTTCATGAACATTAAACAGGATGTATATAATTA